AATATCTAAAATGACAACCAAGAGGCATTTTCTGGTTACTAATTCATGGTATATTGTCACATGGGTGCGTTTGCTCATTGATTAAAACATACTTGACTATGCAGGTGTGATAACTTTAATCAGTACATACGCCACACAACTAAAGGACACAATGAAAACAGGAAAAATTATTAAAGATGGACGCCGCTGATCCTTACAATATATCAGTCTCTTTTAAATATAAAACGTTGATTTTAATGATTATCTGAATCTCCCATGGCTCTCAAACTTCCCTGTGTTCGACCGTGTACTGACCCACGTAGTTGCATGATTAACTGATCAGGATTTCCTCTCCGTAAATAGAGTAAATTACTATTATTCATGTTCACGGGACATGTCGTTATTTTGAGAAATATTTTACTCATTCGATTGCTCATTTTCTGTTACTATTTTTAAATGTTGACTAAATTTCAATGCGCCAAAATGTATTTATATACTCTTCAAAAAAAGGAAGGGATATTGAAATGCAAATATATATGCAGGTTATGATATGATAAATAGTCATGGACACTTGACATGCTTTGCGAGTATGTTCACAGATGAAGAACTTATCGCCCCAACAGAACCACTGAGCTGCACGTGGGAGGGATTCATTGTCAAATTTGACACTTCAAGGAAGGGTTGATGAAAACTACCGCGTGCTGGTTTATCTATCTATGTTTGCTTTCCTATCGGTTCTTGCATAAGATTTACTGTTTAGCGTATCTTTGCTTTAGTGTGTTACGTTTAATTTGATTGGGATACGTGTTCGTCGACGTCAACCGACAACACTGCAAGAATTGGCCGTGACACTGCAAGATGAATGGGTCAGATTGCCCCAAACCGTGACTGGACGGTTGATTAGGAGCATGCCACGACGAATTGCTGAATGTCTGAGGATTGGTGGAGCAATTACTCATTATTAAGACAAAAATGAAAAACACCCATTTTCACGTTTGACGGTGTATCTCTTTGATAAGCCGCCCATATGAACCGTTTATGTTCATGTGTAGGTAATTGGCCTTTTATTAACATACACTGGTGTTAAGTGGTTTCTTATACCTTATAATGTGGAAGACAATTTTTACCAATTTGTTCTTCATACTCATAGAATGAAGCGTGACGACGTCTATATGATTTCTGAGACACACAGGGATGCTTTTTTTTATTAACTTAGCAACGTTTGCTAAAATAAGCGCCAAATAAGCGCCCCAGTAGAACATAGACCCTATTGCCTATATGGTTGTTGGCCGATCGTTATCTCACCGGAAAGCAGCTTTATTCAAGATGACATAAGGTTTATGTCATATTATGATTGTTATTGATTTTGTTATTAATGTTTTGCGAACCTTATGGACAGTGGCTATAACACTGAGTAACCTAAAGGAGAGAACATTTGGACAATTTGAGTTAATATCCTGACTTTTGAGATCATTGCTGGGTGGCAAATTCTTGTGAACGAGAGGATCATAAATGTCAGTCAATGGGACAGAATCTCGAGATCTGCCTGTCATTTCCGCCTGATTTGTATGAGTGTTGACAGAACAGAAGTACAGTCGGTCGCCCCACGCACTAGTGGTACTAACTGGGCGGTTCACTATAACCGTGAATGATGCCATAATAGAATTGAGCGCCGTAGACGCGAACAATTATCAGATAGCAATTATGATATATAACTGAGCTTTTAATTATTTGGGACTGGGTCCGAAATTTTTTTAATCAAGTTACGGACATTAGAGTTCATTGATAGGAGCAAAATCTTGTGAACGAGAGGATCAGAAATGGCACAGAATCTCGAGATCTGCCTGTCAATTCCGGCCTCGGTTTTTCTTTTTCTGGGGTTATTTTCTTCAGTCTTTCTTTCCCCAGCATAATCTCAGTCTCGTGCTTTATCCTATACATATTACACTTCTAGGGTCTTAAACCAAACATTTAAGATTTTCTTGTACATTGGTTTGGCGAATGTCGGCCATCTTGGATTTTACTTATTTTTACCACTTTAAGGGCCAGTAAACACTACTGGCTATATCTTCAAACGAAAGAATGACCCCAAAAGCATTAATTCATATGTTCATAATACATTATTAGGGTCTTAAACCAACAGTTTAGGTTTTTTTTGTACATTGATTAAGCAAATGTCGGGCATCTTGGATTTTACCGCTTTCCGGTGGGCAAAATTTGGTAAACTATTGTGATTTTATAAAGTATACCTAAATAAACGCAAACATGCATACAAACTTTTACTTGCAATTTTTGGGGGGTAAAATCATAAATTGACTGGACTTGGTTAATTATGCTCAGTTACTAAAAAAATCTTTTTAATAAAATATGAGTGATATTAGAAACGGTTATCTCCATTATCTCTATTTAAATATTTTGTTGATAATAAATTGACGTCATCAGACCAATTTTACCCGAAATAACGTTTATTCAGTGACATTTAGATCTCGGGGAGATCACATACTTGAAAAGGTAAGCTTAAGTGGACCACACTGACCTAATAGATTACTTATTAGTTGACGTTGCCAGCGTGCCGAGATTTGTCAAATCTATACGGACTATGTGTAGAAATCATTGTGTTTGTTCTCTCTACAAATTTCGTTATTCAAACATCACTGCTCTAACAACCTACATTTGTGTTAGAGAAATCGTGAGCTTAAAGGGTATATAATTCAATAAGCTGTATGGGATTGTGTTAATACGTTGTGAGTAAGAATATGGTGTCGAATTAAAGCTAAAACTTCATGAATGAGATACTTTGAAGCCACGTCTGCCATCGCTTTGGCATACTCGATTTCTGATCAGCCATTTTGTCTTAGCCCGACTATTTTAATTTACATGACGTCTCGAAATACATTAGCCAATCAAATTACATGGGGTTCATATGAGTCCACAAACAATTCACCTGGCATGGTAAGAAAAATTGACTGACTGAACGATGGCCACGTAACAATGTGAAATGAAATGGGGTTTAACCTCCTACTGTTCTGCTCCTATACTGGGCTAATGAAGAAGGGCATACGCCATGCAGTGCCAGGCCTCGAAATGTTTAAAAAAAAGCTACCTGTCGCAAGGTAGCTTTTCTTCATACCTGTCGCTTCAGGAAATAACCTGTCACTCTCAATTATCAAACTCAAAGACTAATCACATCACACATATCCATACATGTAGGTACGCACGCACGTGGTTAGGTCTTTGACGTACATTTCTCTATATAAATATCGTAATATGAAATCTTTTTATTTCTTCGACATCGGATTGCCTAAAAAGTCTTGAAAGTCGGCGAATCTGCTTTGGCTCAGCGACTCGAAGATTCGTACAATTCTATCATCCGTATCCACGTGAATTCCGCAAAGTATCATGGTACCACACTTCCGTACTAAATCGAATACTTCACCGTTGAGTTGTAGAATTCAGATTTTAAAATATCCGTAATAAATTGAATATCAAAACACAAATCACACCTGTGCATGGCACCGTATTTACATCTACCGTGTGCGAAGGACAGATAACGCCACCTGGAATTCCCTTCTCACATATCCGGACTATATTTACGCTGCAAATTATATTTATATATGAAATATTTTTCCGACCTGATTTTTTGATTTTGTCAAATTGTCTTATAAATTATTCATAGCCTTTATTTATGGAAATTGTTTAAAACGTTTTAAATGATTAAATACACCAAGCAACGAGCCGTGTGCATTTCCATTCCAACCACTACTATATTTACTGTGGTGTCGTTACGGTAGAATTATTTCAGGTGACTTGGGGGTGCGTTTTAATTTATTTAGATATAATACTCCATAATGCTATAAACTAGTGTCAATCAGATGAAAACAAGTGTAGATGGTGTGAAATTCATTGATATAAAATTGTCTACTTCCAAACTGTGTGAGTAACTGTAGCCTACGACAGAGCGAAATGTAAACAGTGCAAATGGCGGCTCTTCGCGGTATTTCCGCGCTTACAATGTAATTCTTGCATTTAGAAGAAATGAGTATTGTGGTCAATTTACTGACTTCAAGTAAAATTTATTCCACTTGCTACCTGTCAGACGAAAAAATCGCCTGTCGGCGACAGGCGAACATTTCGAGCCATGCAGTGTGCCATGAGGGAAATTTTGCCCGGACAGCGACACTATCGCCTACTCTTACATCGAATTCCAACTGCCTGGGGATCTTTTACGTGCATTCCAATATATACACGGGACCTCGGTTTTTCGTTTCACCCGAATGACTAGACAGCTGTCCTTGTCAGCCCTCCGTTCTGCACCACTGACAAGGGGAAACCACGTCGGACAATCTGGATGAACTTTCTCGGCCAATGCAGGGGTCGAACACCCGACCTCCAGACTAGCGAGCCAGCGTCTTAACCACCTAGCCACCGTGGCTCCACGCAACAATGTAATGGGGATTGACCTATCCTCTAATTTGTCTTGACCAAGGGAGGTTTTAGACCAGACATCTGACACGAATACAACGTTGTCATTGAACGACAACAAGAGCCGGGCTAAAAACGTTAAAATAAATAATCACATGAATCACGCTTACTAGGATACGCGCGGGGATTTCACGTACAAGCCAACGTGTACACGGGACGTTTTTTTCTTCCCATCTAAACGACTAGACACTGTTCCTTGTTGGTTTCCCCGTCCTTCACCACTTACAAGGGGAAATCACGCCGGAAAGAGCCCAAGGAACATTCTCTGCCAACATCGGGATCGTCGAATCTAGCCGTGAACCTCCTGGCAGCACCTTAGACACTGGGCCACCGCAGCTCCCCCACGAGTTTTGCATGTGCACATGTGTTTTTTGGGCAAAATGACAGTCTATATCATTGCGGATGTTTAAATTATCTCATATCAGATTTTACGAGTGGGCGAGACCTTAATATCTTACTCATAAGGACTAAAAATATACACCTCGGTGGAAGCGGACATAAAATACAACTAACTCATCATCACACCAGTATTACTCAATGTTATGTGGTACAAGTGACGTCATTCATTTAATTTGGTTGACAACATGCAATAACATAATAATAATAATATAGTCTTTATTCAACCCGAATTACACACTTTTAAAACACACCAAGAAAGGCAGATAGCAAAAGGTATTAATATAATCCTCGTATTACTTGAGTTAACTTAAAAATACAATTATTTAATATCATGTGGCTTGATATCTAACTAGGTCGTTGTGCCATAAACAAGATTTATTCAACCACGGGAGTTGATTTACTGATACAAGGATACTATTAAAACCACAAACAATCGCTATCAAAATACACCAACCGTTAACAAAACCCGTACAAACAATAATATAAAATTACCCGCTCACAGTTAAAGGTAATTAAAAAATGCATTTATATTGCACCTGATAAGGTATCAAGGCTTCTCAATGTCAGCTTACAGATGTATAAACAAGATTTCCCAAGGCGGGGGTGGGGGGGACAGTGAAATTACACAAGTTGCTACGATAATACAACAATCTATGCTACAACTTGTAAAAATCCCAGACACTTATAATTTCTCACAGGATAAAGTTATTTGACTGAAATTTTTACTATATTCATTTTCATTATCTACATTTGAACTATTATAGCAAGAACGGCCAACTCTTTATCAAAATCTTACAAAATGCATGATGATATTTACCAAAATTGAAAGTACTTGTCTGTAAATAGCTCGAATTACATTTGCACTGTGGTGATATTATTTGTAGTCCCATACCACTTCATATACTAATGCTTTGTCTTTAAAAAGATTATGCCATGTTGAATGTCGGATTTATAAACGCATGCACGTTAGCACCATACGTGCAGCATGGCAAGTGGTTCCGGCATTTGAATAATTATATCCAAGAGCTATTCAAACTATGGAATATCCACGCTATTCCTTATTAAACGTGGTCTCTCTGTTCGGATTTGTCTGATCAGTCTTGTCCAGTTACCATCGTTAGATTCACCAGTATCATCCCAAATCATATGCTCGTTAGTACGGATAAGTTTATGGATGACTTTGGTCATATTAATACTGCAAATTTCTTTTAAAACTATCACAATCAAGCTGTCGGGTCCTTCACACACAGATCTCTCTATTGCCATGCAGCATTCGAACTCGCACCACTGATCTTGAGCATAGGAGTCCGATAGACACACCACGACACATTTGCATCGATCCATCTTCTCCAGTGTGTGCTTAACCTTCAAACTACCAGGCATGGCATCTCTTTGCGGAATATAAACATTGAACGTTTCTTCCAGCTTAACAACAATATCATTGTACACAAAATCAAAATCTGACTCAGAACAACTAAAATACACATCATAGTGATATGAACAACTATTATTATCACTACTTAGGTATTTTCGTCTATGATAATTCAAAATATATATCATATATCTCAGACGCCATCTTAACCTATAAACAACACTTACCATTAGCAGTAGAGTAATCATCGATATACACGTACATCTGATAATTAGGCCGGTTTTTTGTCTTATCAAGCAGCTACGCTTATTTATATTGACATCGGTTATGTTCACACCACGTCCAGCACATTCATAATTTTTGGGGAAATTGTACATTTTACCCGCTTTTGTAAACCGTTTAGCAAAGGTAATGAACCATAATAAATCACAATTGCATTCCCATGGATTGAACGCTAAATCTAGATGTTTCAGGTGTCTGGTGAATTCAGTGGGAAGCATTTCCTTCGTAACTGTTGAAAACTTATTGCCGTTCAATAGAAGTGTATTCAGATTTACAAAATGAACGAAATAGTCATTATGCATTGTTACAGCATCATTGTTTTCAAAGTGAAAATATTCCACATTCTTTAGTCTATTTTGGAAGCTTTTTGGTAAGTACAACATACGAGATTTGCTTACATCAAAGTAGATCAGATTAGGCATATTTTTTAACAGAGCATCCCAATGATAGTTGTGAAGCTTGCCAAGCATGTTACCAGATAAATCCAAATGTCGTAGCTGTGAACAATTTTCGAAGACTTTTGCAGCACCCACTGGATCAAAATCTATCGAATTGAATCGTATGAATAACCGTTCCAATGATGCACTGTTGAAAGCGTATGGTTTAACTGTATTCGTATCATAAAGACTGGTCGTGTACTCCAATGTCAATGTCCTAAGTTTTGTTAATTTAGAGAAGGTATTACTCTCAATACTGTGGATCCTGGTAGAAGAGATGTTCAACAGCTGTAGCTCACCCAGGCAGTTTATATTCTCCATCTTCAACCTGCTTATACAGTTATCATCCATGAATAAATATTTCAGATTTGGAAGCAAAGCTGTACCATTCGAACAACAAAGTGGTAGCTCCGTTAAATCATTGGACGACAAACTCAAATATTTTAAATTTTTCGCGTTGGAAAGTATTAGATTTGCTATGAAGTTAATAGACAGGTCGAGATGTCTGAGATGCTTTAGTTGTCGGAATGTGTTGCTACTATTAAAGCTCTTAATGCTGTTATTCTTAAGGACAAGTACAGCCAACTTGGTTTGAGTCAGCGATTTCATCAGACTGTATGGAAAATCCTCCCAACCCATACCCATCAAGTCTAATTCCGTTAGTGACTTTGAGATACCATTGACAGATTTGTTTATGATCTGACAAGTTAAAGGATTTTTACTCACATTTAGTTTTTGAAGATGGAGAAAAATCGAAAAGTACCCTTCATCAACAGAAGAAATACTGTTATTGGAAATATCCAGCAGGATTAAGTTGGCTACATTATTGCCCGTGGATTTGTTTAAATGGGTTAACGAATTTCCACTCATGTTCAACCGAATAGTTGCATTGGGCAGAGTTGGTATAGACGTTAATCCTAGACCCGAACAGTTCACATTTTTTTTATCTGTAGAACATACGCAAGATGTATTCTTAATGCACCGAAACAGAAAATCCTCACGTTCTAGTGTTGCAATGTTCACAACCAATGCACATATAATCAAACACCCTATGATAAGTCCTCGTTTGAAATCACTTATTACTGAATACTCCATGGTCCTCGTAAAGGGAACTCACTATTTACAGATGTTCATCTTTAAGCGATATTAATTTAAAACGCAACACCGCTAAGTTAGTTTAAATCCGCCTACTGTAGAATAGCTCGTGATGCAATTACCTAATAGTCTTTATGGTTGTCAGTCAAGGCGTTCTGCTTTGTCCTCTTCGTGACGACACTATGACACATAATGTAGTTGGAAAACCCACACTATTCATTAATATAAGATGTTTACATTACAACTTAAACCAGTTGGTATTCCTACCAACGTTTCAATCGAGAATTAAAGCGACCTCCTACTTTTCAGCGACCACCTGTGCTACTCACGACGGGCACAAGCCACGAAGTGTGATACGAGGACAATATTTTGCCCGGACAGTGGCATGTCAAGACCTAGGGAGAGGGCATTTAGCGATATGTACCTGCTAATACCATTAAATGTTAAAGGACAAGCATAAACTGGATTTATTGCACGTTCTGGAAAATGATATAGGAACTAGACTTACGGAGATGTTAGCCCGAATTCCTTTTCATTTTAGGATAGTGGTGGTATCGGTTGGGGTATTATATTACCGAAGGTTCAAAGAATGATCCCGTTTCTATGGAAGCCTATAACTGCCATTCGTAATTTCTACTTTTCGCCCCTTCAAAACACGAAAGTCGAAAAGTAGAAGTTACGACGAAATGTGAGACGACAGCACGCTATACAAGCCAAATTCGACTCGAAAATAGGAAATTAAGAAATAATACACCGCGATAATAGCACCCCTCGTTTGTTTCCTAATTTTCGATTTACATTTCGGCTTGTGTACCGTCTTGTCGACCTTCGACTTGGTCATATTTTTGTATTTATTTACGTCAGTAAGAAGGCGCCAACTCGCATACCAAGCCAAAGTGCAACTCGAAAAGTAGAAATTAGGAAATTCACACACCACGCTATTAGCGACCTATCATTTTGGCCTTCTGTCGTGCTGGCAATTTTTTTTAGTTTCGTCTAGGAAGTTGTTGTAGTCTCAATTTTCCAGGTGGAATTTGAATACGTGTAATCAGGGTTCACACTGGCTTTCATATTTTTCCCGCCAAAATGGATAATATTTTTTTATATTTTATCTGCCAAAAATGTCTGATAAAAAGAAACAACTTACTACAATTTAGTTTATTATGTAGGCATATTATAAAACAATTATCCCGTACATATACAATATACAGCAACATACAAAATCTGTCTTACGTGGGGGTTTGGTGGTCTAGTGGTTTAACGTCATTGTGTCAAGCGTGGGCTTCGATTCCCCGCTTAAACGTGACAAGGGAGTAGGGTCGATCGCCTGTCCAACCTTGTGGGTTTTCTGCGGGTACCCCATTTTCTTTCCACGGCTAAAGACCCCTAAGTGCAAACGACTTATTGAAATAGACATTGAACCCTCTTTAAACAATACGTTAGCACAGTTTGGGGATGACTTCTTGGATTAGACTTGGTGTTTTTGTCATTCATGTTTGTTTAGACTTACAGCAAGGGACCGATAGTCCGCCTCAAAACTTTGTAGACTGATTTTTAAGAACATGAACTAGCGTTTGTACGGCTTTTGGCGAGAAATGTAGCTGACGCCCCATCTCCGCAATACATTACACATCAAACATACTTAAACTGTTAAACATAAAATTAAAATTTCGTCAGACGTTTTGTATTTATATAGTGTTGTGACAGAAACATAAACCAACCAAAATTAATAACCTAATTATTTTAATTGGAAATGAAATAAACTGAATTGGAGTTTAACGCCCTGCTTTGCTACACCGACTGGGTTAATGAAGACGGGCTTACGCCATACAGTGTGCTAGTGAGAAAATTTGCCCAGAAAGGGATGCTACGGCCTACTCTTAATTCGAATTCTAACTGGCAAGGGTTCTTTATGTGCTCACCAATGTTTACACTGTCCTTGTCAGGCCCTCTGTCCTGCCCCACCCACAACACGAAAATGCAGCTTCTTGAAAGTTGTTATACATTAGTTACTATGGGTTAAAATGAAATGGGGTTTAACATCCTACTTTTCTAAAAGTCGGAGAACTCCATACACTGATGACAAGGATTGGTGTCGCATCTTAAACCTGTGTCTCAACAAGATGGTTTTTTTGAAGCTATAATTTTGTTTTATTCTGAATAATAAATTACACGAATTAACTATACAGTCCGTATATATGGAGATATACCTTTAAGCTTGACATTAACACTAGTTTTAACAACAAGAGATATTGGAAAATTGCAGTGAACTGCAACAATCAAGAATAGTATGCTTTTTTCCAAAGGAAAATAATGTAAATTTACGAGAGGTTATCATTTGTCGCTTAATCTCGGTCTTCTCGCAGAGAAAGCCTTTCACCACGACAAAAACACCAAGTCTAATCCGAAAAGTCATTTCACAGCCTTCCGTGATTCTTGACAATTTCAGTATTTAACTAGAAGTGATTGCTAGCTCGCTGGCGCTTGTTTCCATACAAATTGCGTTTCTTGCAATAATACCATTTGTAAGCCGTGACAAAAAGCACTTACAGGAACAATTGACGTTCGTTAAAGTAGGTTTTCTTTCCTTGGATGGCGAATGGTGAAAGTAGAAAAAAAGGCGAAAAAATATCACGCTACAAGTGAGTCAAACAGTTAATTATGTATTTCCATTTTGACAAATCTGTTTTAATAACCAGAAAAGCAAAATCCAGTCAAAGGCTTATTGTTTATTTCGATGTCTACCCCTGAAGACTGGTCACAGTGTCTAAATCCACCCGCGTACCGGTGTCTGGGGCCTTATTCAAGAACATTTTAGAATCCATTTTTTTTTATTGGCTAAGAGCCAGACTTTATACTAAGATGTAACTTTCAACTAACTAAAACAATTTTAGCTTTATTTTCGTAAATAAGATCCCGGGGCTTTACAAATAAGTACTAGCGAACTTAATATTAAAGTTGCTAAGTCTCTAACTCAATATCACCCAAAGTCTTCGACATTAAATACACGAGTTATTTGTCAATTTAAATCAACATTGATGTTGTTATCTTATCTTGAAAAGATGGGATTCTGATATCCAATATATAAGACTAAATAAACATTTTACCATTAGTACACGATCCGTGTACCATAATGCGTTGCAGTGCCAATTGTAACAAGTGTCTCGAAGAATAAGGCTAGACATATTCCACAAGTCATATCAAACCATTGACGCCAAACAGTGACGTCATATTCTTCTTTGGAGAGCATGCGCAATAAATACTACCGGTATGCAGACTGTAATAACCAGACGCTAGTGATTGCCATTCGACTGAGACTTCTGGCGTATTTCGCCGAACATAACTGATTTGAAATTTGAGTAAAGCGGAAACGATTGAATATAAATCATTTATATTACATGCATATGCCTGCCGACCCATTTGTGTCATTTTCTAGGTCCCAAATGTTAGCGATTTAGCTCCTTTATACTGAATCGATGAAAAGTGTTAAAATTTCGAGAACAGACATCTTTGCAGATGACCCTGGTTGTAGCATTTTTTGTAGGCCGGAATGCATGCATACGATCGAAATGAAACTTGGCATGCTTGTTCCTTGGATCTTGGTTTACGTTCCACTGAAATACAGTTCGTGCTACACAGGACTTAAACAACCAAAACATTTACTTGCCAGTAAAACCTTTTTATATTCGTTATTTCTTGGGTGGATGTTTTCCACATTCTGCACCCAGAGAACTAAATTCTCTACATGTAATTAGAGAATAGATATCTGCTCTTATTGGCCGCCACATCCAAAAATTAATATACTGTTTGTAATGTGGTTCTACTCCGTTTCACATCTGTCATACACACTAAATAAAATGCTTCTCGGAATTCTCGAAATATACTGAAATCGTGGATTTAGGACTTAAAATGTCGTTCAACTAACTTCGTGACTGGTCTCACGATGAGCCACTTGTAGACAGTGTAAGTTTAGTGTGTTATTTCCATAGTATTGCTTCTGGGACCCTTCAAATACTTCACGCCTTATTTCGCCGGTCATATATTCTCGTATTTTCCCCATTCTAAATTGAAGTTTGTTCTTTTATGGCGGGCTTTCCATTTCGCATTTGACTGAAATATATTTTTGCATCCACGCCAGTTTTTATGTTTAATATGTAACGAAACATTCACAAATATTGCAGCCTCAGCCAGTTAGTTATATCGTTATATATAAACCTAGGGAGTAAAACGCCCTCTTTTTGCTTCTATTATCGGGTGTTTCTGTCTCTTTCTTTGAAAGGTGGGAATTGGGGTCAGAGCGCTGACAAGATAAATTTGTCGAATTGGCAAAACTGCGAAATTTGGTTGTACGAATCAATTTGGTTGTACGAATAAAATATCTCTTGGGTGTTGGAATTCGAAAAAGAACACCTGCACAGTTATCCACGGAAATAATAATAACCGTGATTTACATATCAAAATGGCCGAACTAATGTGTTGATGGGGAAGTTAAATCATTTTACGTCTGCCTTGGAACACAAGCAAGAATTGTCTATATTTAGATTTGTTTTAATAATTGCATATCATAGAGTTATCATAAAGTTATCGCATGTTTTAAACGGCGAATACTATTCTTATTCCTCTTGTTAAAGTTACAATTTCATATTTTCTAAGAAAGTCAAAACATAAATATTTCTATATCTTTTGTTCAATAGGTTGTCAACTCACTATTATACGATCATAGGTTATCTTTCTCACACTTAAAAATCTTCACTCCGGAAATAATAACACAATTACCTCCCATGTTTTCCTATTTCCCACCATTGAATAGCTATCTTCCAACACACCGTCTGACGTCAATTTTTATTATGAATTAATACGATCACATTGTGATTCAATTTCATTGATGCGAAGTATTAACTATATCATTATCTCGCTCTTTGAATGCCCATCCCATCTCACCATCTGACAATGAATTATAAAGCACACGACCGTGTTGTATTATAAATTTTGTATGTAGCTGAGCTACAACTACATACTACCCTAATATTGTGAAAAACTAACATAATACTTCAATTCGTGGGAAACTTGCAATAGACGATTGTGCAACAAGAAACAAACTGTGTTATACGCGGAAAATGATACTATAATTTCTCCGAAATTGGAACTTGACTTTTTTGCTTTTTATTTGTAGGCTTTCTATTCGTCAAGAAAAACTGATTTTAAAAAGAAGTGTTCGGCGTCATAAAACAAGAATAATATTTGAATTCGGCTTAAATATGTAGTTTCAAACTGCGGTATTCATCTTTAAGAAAACAAACTAAATAATGACAATTACAACATGATCCCAAATGCATTAACATCGACCAATGCATGTATGGATATATACCTACTTTTCTATTCTTTAA